GGTTCCCCCATGCCAACCTCACCGTGCTACAGCGCACTGCCAACTGGCTCGTGCACGTGGAGCGCGTGGTGGACGGGGGGCACGCGGGAGACAGCAGGTGCGGGAACGAGGGCGGTGGGGAGAGTAGCAGTGCGGGGGAAAGTGGCACTTGGAGCAGTAGCAACAGCACGGACAGTGGGAGCCATGGCAGTGGGAGTAGCAGCACACCAGCAGCAGCAGCAGCAGCAGCAGCAGGGGCGCAGTACAAGCGAGTGGGCCACATGTATCGCATGGATGATTTCCTGTACCGGCACCTCATGCGCTTCCACCTGCTTGTGCTCAGCACACGCCACCACTGGACCCACGACAGGTAACCGCTCCCGTGCGCATGTGCGTGAGAAGCAGTGTGCGTGAGCGTGTCTTGGCAGCGGTTGTTAGTTAGAACGAGGCACCAGGATACGTGTGAGTGGGCAGTGGGCAGGGAGAGATGCAGACTTACTCACTGGTCAGTCAAGTGATTCTGTAACACAGGGTAATCAGCAGCAGGCAGCAATTATCTCTAGCCGCATTCTTCCCCGTGAATACGACTTGCAAGCCCCCCTCTCTCTCTTCCCTCACTCTCCCAACCCTCCTCTTTCCCCCCTGTACCCATTCCCCCATCTCCCCTCGTTCCCTGCGCCATCCATCTCATCTATCCCAACCAGCTTCCAGCGCTACAAGCTCGCGCTCCAGCTGTCCCCCACCGCCCGCCCAGCCCTGCTCCCAGCAATCCAATCAGAAAACGCCACGCTGTACTCAGTCCTGCGGCGGCAGGCGTTGATCACTGTCCTCCATAACATCACCTCCGCTATAGTCACACTGCGAGCAGCAGCAGCCAGCAGCACGAGCAGCAGCAACGGCCATGGGGGACACGAAGCAGGGTCGTATCCTACCGTGCTTGCAGGCAGCAACCAAGGCGTGTCAGTGCCTTCCAGTGACCACCGCATGGCCACGGGTCCGCTTCCTCTGGTGCTGCTGCGCACGCTGTCCCCAGCGCACTTTGCCCATGGCACGTGGAGCACAGGCGGGCGCTGCGATGGGTTCGAGGTGAGCTCGCTTGCCACCCCAGCTTTTCCTCCCTCTGCCTCTTTGCCTCTCCCTCTTTGCCTCTGCCTCTGCCTCTCCCCCTGCCTCTTTGCCTCTGCCTCTGCCTCTGCCTCTGCCTCTGCCTCTGCCTCTGCCTCTGCCTCTGCCTCTGCCTCTGCCTCTGCCTCTGCCTCTGCCTCTGCCTCTGCCTCTGCCTCTGCCTCTGCCTCTGCCTCTGCCTCTGCCTCTGCCTCTGCCTCTGCCTCTGCCTCTGCCTCTGCCTCTGTCTTTCTGCCTCTGTCTCTCACCAACCTTGTTGTGGCACGGTACAATGGGTACGTCCATACGTTAGTGGATATGGATGACAACACCATGCAGCCAGGCAGCTCCGGGTGAGCCTCTCAGATTCCCCCTATCCGTCTCTCTGTGCTCCCTCCTCTTCTGCTCTGCTGCTTGCTGTGCAGGACCCATTGCCAGCAGAGGAAGCATGTGCAGGCACTGGTCAGTGCAGGGACACAGCAGCCGAGGATGCCACTCGTGCTGCAGCAGCGGTGGAGAGAGCATCGGCAGAATCTGGAGCAGAGGGAGCAGAAGCAGAGCAAGCAGGGGCAGAAAGAGCAGAAGCAGCAGCACAGCGGGCAGCGTCATCAGGAGATGAAGGACTGGCGGCAGCAGCAGCTTCAAGAAGGCAACAAGAAATAGCGGAGGGTGCATCAGGTGATTCGGTCGCGTGGTTGCAGTTCCTGAATGTCTCGTTTCTCTCTGCTCTACGGGCTGATGCACATGTGGCGTCGTTCTATGCCTACCGCGATGGAGGTAGGAGGACGCTTGTGCGAGACTGTGTGCATTGGTGTCTGCCTGGTGTGCCCGACACGTGGAACGAGTTGCTGTACACTGAGATTATAAGATCCGGGAAATTCCCAGTAACATAAAGCAGTTTGAATAGAAACAATACTACCGTACCAAAGCAAATACGCAGGAAGGTATTATTGTTCAAACAGTTCACTACATTAGCACAGCAGGGCAGACAAAAAAAAGAGCAGACAGCAGAGAGAAGACCTACAAGCCTGGACAAAGCCTGAGAGCTACCACAACAAACAAAAAGAAACACACTGCATCACATGCAGCTTCTAAGCCACCACCCTGCATTTCTGTATAGCATGGTCCACCACCAGTCTATGCAACCGATGCCAATATTGCTTGACCCCAAGGTTCACAGCACCCAGTCGACTGTAGCAGCGATTATCCTCTCGCCTCAATACACTACCCCTTGAGTGAGTCCTTGATAATCTGGATAATCTCCCCTATGGCTTCGTCCACTGCACTGTCAGCAGACACAGCAGCTGACCCAGCAGTGCCCATTGCCTTGGCCTCAGGCTCTGCTCCTGCCTCACGCTCAGGCACGGGTGCCTCAGGCTCGGGCTCTGCTGCTACCTCAGGCTCAAGCTCGGGCTCGGCCGCTACCTCAAGCTCAGGCTCTGCCGCTGCTTCAGGCTCAGGCTCGGGCAATGCTGCTACCTCAGGCTCAGGCTCGGGCTCAGCGACTACCTCAGGTTCGGGCTCCACTGCCGGCTCAGGCTCGGCGGGTTCAGGCTCTGCTGCCGCCTCAGGTTCAGGCTCGGGCTCGGCGGCAACCTCAGGCTCGGCGGGTTCAGGCTCTGCTGCCGCCTCAGGTTCAGGCTCGGGCTCGGCGGCAACCTCAGGCTCGGGCTCTGCTGACGCCTCAGGCTCAGGCTCGGGCTCTGCTGACGCCTCAGGCTCAGGCTCGGGCTCTGCCGCTGCTTCAGGCTCAGGCTCGGGCTCTGCTGCTACCTCAGGCTCAGGCTCAGGCTCGGCAGCTACCTCAGGTTCGGGCTCCACTGCCGGCTCTTGCTCGGCGGGTTCAGGCTCTACTTCCGCCTCAGGCTCAGGCTCGGGTTCTGCTACCGCCTCAGGCTCAGGCTCGGGCTCTGCCGCTGCTTCAGGCTCAGGCTCGGGCTCTGCTGCTACCTCAGGCTCAGGCTCGGGCTCTGCTGCTACCTCAGGCTCAGGCTCAGGCTCGGCAGCTACCTCAGGTTCGGGCTCCACTGCCGGCTCTGGCTCGGCGGGTTCAGGCTCTACTTCCGCCTCAGGCTCAGGCTCGGGCTCAACGGCAACCTCAGGCTCGGGTTCTGCTGACGCCTCAGGCTCAGGCTCGGGCTCTGCCGCTGCTTCAGGCTCAGGCTCGGGCACTGCTGCTACCTCAGGCTCAGGCTCGGGCTCTGCCGCTGCTTCAGGCTCAGGCTCGGGCACTGCTGCTACCTCAGGATCAGGCTCGGGCTCAGCGGCTACCTCAGGTTCAGGCTCCACTGCCGGCTCAGGCTCGGCGGGTTCAGGCTCTGCTGCCGCCTCAGGTTCAGGCTCGGGCTCGGCGGCAACCTCAGGCTCGGGCCCTGCTGACGCCTCAGGCTCAGGCTCGAGCTCTGCCGCTGCTTCAGGCTCAGGCTCGGGTTCTGCTGCTACCTCAGGCTCAGGCTCAGGCTCGGCAGCTACCTCAGGTTCGGGCTCCACTGCCGGCTCTGGCTCGGCGGGTTCAGGCTCTACTGCCGCCTCAGGCTCAGGCTCGGGCTCTGGAGCTGCTTCAGGCTCAGGCTCGGGCACTGCTGCTACCTCAGGCTCAGGCTCGGGCTCAGCGGCTACCTCAGGCTCGGCGGGTTCAGGCTCTGCTGCCGCCTCAGGCTCAGGCTCGGGCTCGGCGGCAACCGCAGGCTCGGGCTCTGCTGACACCTCAGGCTCAGGCTCGGGCTCTGCCGCTGCTTCAGGCTCAGGCTCGGGCTCTGCTACCGCCTCAGGCTCAGGCTCGGGCTCTGCCGCTGCTTCAGGCTCAGGCTCGGGCTCTGCTGCTACTTCAGGCTCGGGCTCAGACTCGGCAGCTACCTCAGGTTCGGGCTCCACTGCTGGCTCAGGCTCGGCGGGTTCAGGCTCTGCTGCCGCCTCAGGCTCAGGCTCGGGCTCGGCGGCAACCTCAGGCTCGGGCTCTGCTGACGCCTCAGGCTCAGGCGCGGGCTCTGCCGCTGCTTCAGGTTCAGGCTCGGGCTCTGCCGCTGCTTCAGGCTCAGGCTCGGGCTCTGCTGCTACCTCAGGCTCGGACTCTGCTGCCGCCTCAGGCTCGGGTTCAGGCTCTGCCGCTGCTTCAGGCTCAGGCTCGGGCTCTGCCGCTGCTTCGGGCTCAGGCTCGGGCTCTGCTGCTACCTCAGGCTCAGGCTCGGGCTCGGCGGCTACCTCAGGCTCAGGCTCGGGCCCGGCGGCTACCTCAGGCTCAGGCTCGGGCTCGGCGGCTGCCTCAGGTTCGGGTTCTGCTGCCGCCTCAGGCTCGGGTTCAGGAACTGCTGCCGCCTCAGGCTCAGGCTCGGGCTCTGCCGCTGCTTCAGGCTCAGGCTCAGGCTCGGGCTCTGCTGGTACCTCAGGCTCAGGCTCGGGCTCGGCGGCTACCTCAGGCTCGGGCTTTGCCGCTGCTTCAGGCTCAGGCTCGGGCTCAGGTTCAGCCACTACTTCAGGTTCGGGTTCAGCCAAAGTAGCAGGCTCCGACGCAGGTGTCTTTTTAGGCTCGGGGTCTGCTGGCGCTTCAGGCTCGATATCTGCTGCTCCTTCAGGTCCCGTCTCCGCTGCTGCCTCAGGACCTGTCTCAGCTGTTGCCTCAGGCTCGGGCGCTGCTGCAACCCCAGACTCAGGTTCGGGTCCAGCCACTCCCTCAGGTTCGGGCTCAACTGCAACTTCAGGTTCAGGTACGGGTTCAGCCACTGCCTCAGGTACGGGCTCGGCCACTGCGTCAGGTTCGAACTCAGCTGCAGCTTCAGGCTCAGGTTCGAACCCAGGAGCTTCTTCAGGCTCGGCCTCTCCCGCTGCTTCAGGCTCGGCCTCCGTCTCGGGCTCAACTGCAGCTTCAGGTTCAAGCTCGGCATCAGCCATTGCCTCAGTCTCGGGCTGACCGGCTGCTTCAGGCTCGGGATCAGCTGCTTCAGCCTCGGGATCAGCTCCTTCAGGCTCGGGCTCAGCTGCTTCAGGCTCGGGCTCAGCTGCTTCAGGTTCGGGTTCAGCAGCTTCAGGCTCGGGCTCAACAGCTGTGGGCTCAGGCTCAGCTGCTTCAGGCTGGAGCTCAGCAGCTTCGGGTTCAGGCTCAATTGCAGCTTCAGGCTCAGGGTCGGGTTCAACCACTGACTCAGGCTCGAGCTCAGCTGCTTCTTCAGACCCGGGTTCAGCTGCTGCCTCAGGCTCGGTCTTGGCCTCTGCTTCAGGCTCGGGCTCAACCACCTCTTCGGGCTCAAGTTCCAGCTCGGCTGCTGCTTCAGGCTCGGACTCGGCTGCAGCTGCAGGTTCGGGCTCAGCTGTTTCTTCAGCCTCGGGCTCGGCTGCTGCCTCAGCCTCGGGCTCAGCGGCTTCAGGCTCGGGCTCAACTGCAGCTGCAGGCTCAGGCTCAAGCTCAGCCACTTCCTCAAGCTCCGGGTCAGCTGCTCCTTCAGGCCCGGACTCAGCTGCTGACTCAGGCTCAGGTTCGGCCTCTGCTTCGGGCTCAGGCTCGGCCATTGCCTCAGGCTCGGCGGGTTCAACTGCTGCTTCAGCTTCAGGTTCGGCCTCTGCTTCAAGCTCGGGCTCAGCCACCGCCTCAGGTTCGGCGGGCTCAGCGGCTGCTTCAGGCTCGGGCTCAGCTGCTGCTTCAGGTTCAGCTTCGGCCCCTGCTTCAGGCTCGGGCTCAGCTGCTGCTTCAGGTTCAGCTTCGGCCCCTGCTTCAGGCTCGGGCTCAGCCATTGCCTCAGCTTCGACGGGCTCACCACCTGCTTCAGGCTCGGGCTCGGCTGCTGCTTCAAGCTCTGGCTCGGCAGCCGCTTCAGACTCAGGTTCGGCTGCTGCTGCTGCTTCAGGCTCGGGCTCTGCTGCTGCCGCAGGTTCGGGCTCAGCCGCCGCCTCAGGCTCGGGGTCAGCTGCTGGCTCAGGCTCGAACTCACCGGCAGGCTCAGGCTCGGGTTCAGCTGCTGCCTCAGGTTCAGGTTCGAGATCAGCTTCTGCATCAGGCTCGGGCTCAGCCGTTCCTTCAGGCTCAGGCTCAGGTACTGCCTCATATTCAGCCTCGGGCTGTGTCTCGATGCCTCCGTCAACGTCTCCCGAAGGCGTCACGTCAGCGGCCAGATCAGCATCATCGACCCCGAGATCCAAGCCCGATGCTGACTGGATCGCCGACGCCGCGCTCGCATCAGCAGCGGCCTGTGCTCCGCTTCCCGCGGCGCTGGAGACGGCGTCGATAGTAGCGGCGTCAGCGCCAGCAGCAGCCGATCCAGAAGAAACCGCGTCCACCAATGCGCCCACACCAGCTCCAGCGACCGCAGCCGCCTCGCTCACAGGAAGGCTATCCTGCTCGCCCGCCTCGTTTCCCTCGGTCGTTGTTTCGACAGACGGCGCGCTTGGTCCCTGCGCGAGCTCATCCGACTTCTCCGAAAGCTGTTTCTCGCGCAGCGCGCGGATTTTCTCCAGGACGGCCTGGCGCCCGCGCAGGCGGCGATCGCTGGCGAGCGCGGCCGCGGACGCGAGGAGGCCGGATGTAGCGCCGACGAAGATGGACGCGCCGGTGACCAGGGCGCGCCGCGTGATGAACCACGGGACGGATGGGACCGTTGGGAATGAGTTACTCTGCGGGGTGGGAACGCACGGTGGAAACGACGCGTGAGCCGATTGTCGTTACGACACGTAGAAATAGACCTGACTCGTCTACATCATGCACGTTGGTAACATCTGCGACATATGTTAGTCAATGTATGCAATCATGCCACTTTAATAAAGCCGCGCAAGAATAATAAAACGACTAACCTCTGTCTTGCTAGGAACAATGTCTTTGGAGTCCTTGGGCGCTTCGGAGGACGCGAAAAGGCGTAGCTTGGTGGCGATGGGGCGCTTGGCTTTAATCAGGCTGCGAGGAGGCGTTGGCACAAGCGGCGAGGCGCGCAGGCCCGTCCATTGCGACACCGACGCTTTCTGAGCCGACGCCATGCAGGACCAGCGCGACGCGAGGGCAGGTAGGCTTGTGGAATGGTGCGCGTTGTGCCGAGGTGACGACTGCGGGACTTGGCCAGCAGTGAGCCGCTTGTTTCACTTCAGTCTGGTCTCAGCCTTGAAATGCAGATCGCGGGAACACTTGATCACGCAGGAGTGTCCTGCATTGCTTGTGAACGCATGCAGCCACGATCAGTGGACCAGGTACAGGTAACTAACCACAGATGGAAAGTTAGGGGAGGGCGCCAAACATCCTCAGAATAAGCGCTTATTCTTGATGTGGTGGGGGTTGTGGCAGTGGGGTGGCGTGGAACCGAGAGAGGTGGTGGTGGGGGAGTGGCGGCGCTGGCCCGAAGGTGAAGCGCGGCTTGGGCAGCATTCCCAACCACTGCCGGACCACTTTTGTTACTAGCGGTTCGCGGGAAGGCTAATGCGCCACGACAATTGACGGTTCAGATTAAGTCGCAGCGTCGTGCGTTGTGATCGATGGTTCGTCACCAAGACAGCTTACACGACGGTCGAGTTGTTGTCCCGAAGCAGCACCTCATACACTACATGCAGGCGATTTGTGGACCGTGCGATAACGCATCTGAGGCTTCAACAGTGTGCAGATGGCAGACGCAGTGGTCTGGCTTGGGTGTTTTGGCGGGGAACCTGAATCTGCGAAGTGACGTGATTCGTGATCGGCCTCACCCCGCAATTGGGTGCTCCAATGTAGGTTCGCGACCGACTGTTCGCTATTGTTCAGTCCACAAGCGCCGTCGATCCTTCCATACGTGGCACACTGCGATCCCACCATGATGTCAGTCAATTAGTTGTGATCCCAACGGGTAAGGTTGCGTGCCGCGATCGCAAGCACTACCACATCATGATAATGTTAGTTATAACTTTGAATTGTTTTCTAGTTTTTTCATGTATGTTTCTTTTCACAAACGTCGACACATTGTTGATCTGTCCTCGCTATGCACATATGCATTGATGCAAACTCTCATTTCGCAGCAGATAAATTCAAAACCAAACTCGAGGCTGCAAACTGACTCCCAGCCAACCATGAGCTTCTTCCGCGTTTCCGTGCTTGTTCTGCTCTTGTTGAGCTTGTCCCACTTCCTAAAACCCGTGCTAGCAAGGTCTGCCGGGTGGATTGACGCATCCAAGGGAAGCGTTGAGGCAAGAAGAGCTTACTATTCAACTTTTGTCTGACCTCCCTTATGTCCAATTCTAACACCTGATTTACAGATTGACCCCAGAGCTGTTGATGTTTACGCACAGCAATTGCAAGGAGGCATGCCATGCGTTCCATATGCTTATGGAGAAGAGGTCAGAGTCATGAGAGAAGGTGACGTTCTGTAATTGACGAATGCCCTTAAACGTCCATAACTTGCAGGACCCCATATTTGTTGAGGACATCAACTGTGACCCGGCCGATGATGCTTCAATATTTAAAATTGGAACGGGTCCGACGCCATCATTGAATGAAAAAGACAACATCTCTCAGCTGCTTTTTCAGCGACGACGACTTCTCGGTTCAAGTTCATGCTGTTGAATGTGAAGGGTCTGTCTGCGTGATGACCAGGAGGACTATCGCAGATGGAATATCGCAATGTGAGATGAACTGCTACGTAGGTGGCATGGAGATTCAACTGAACGTCCACGCAATCTTGACATCAGCATATCAACTGGGGTCCGGGGATCTTGAACAAGATTGAGGTGAAAGAAAATCGATCCATGTGCAAGCAACACAGCATCCCCATGATGTTATTGTTGTGTATGTCATAAAACCATACGGTGTGGAACATCCAGAGAGTTGAGTTGTTTCCCAAAAGTCTGCACTGCCGGTTAAAAATGGTCATTATGGTAAACGCTATGTTGCAGTAAGATATTGTACGTTTCAGAGCGGTGACAGTTAGCATACTATACTCCAATGAAAATAGCGTTCTTCGCAAACACTTCCATCTAAAGCTAGCCACAAACACACTCCTTGCAGCTCTGCCTACTGCCAGCTACCTGCTGCTTACAATTGACCAACCACACAACATTTCCTATCACGCATGTCATCCTGTTGGATTTCCAGGCACAAGGTCAGCGACAGTAATGCGGTACACTACCGTCACCTTTGCTTCCTGCGAAAGGCTACAGTGGCAACACGAGAGCCCTCCACTCCTCCAAATTTAAACGTGGGATATGTTTTCACATGGTCTACCATCTCAAAGGCCCCTCTCCATGGCTGCTCCTCTGTCTCATCCACACTGTTGATACCCACGCTCTCATCGTTTCCAAGAGCTGATAAAAGGACAGAAAAGGAATGGAATGGATAGGGCAAATCAAGACACCAGATGAAGAGGCTTGAATCTATCAAATAGGAAATGCAGATTATTACACAATGACTCTTCACAAATCAGTCACACGGAGAAGTTACCTGGAGGGGCAAACTCTGCTGTGAGCTCAGCCACAGTGCTGTTGCAAGAAGTGATGACCTGACGTTCCACAGGCGGGAAGAACATTTGAAGAGGACGGAAAGGGGAAGGGGGTTGCAGAAGATTGGGAAACGGGTTGAGATTGCCGCTTGCCAGAGCAACCAAGAGATGCTTTAAAAAAAAAGGTGAGAGGAGACACGAGATAGGGTTGGCAAAGGCAGTCGCAGGTTGTATGATGATAGGCCTAAACGCATCAGTAAGATAGACACAGTGATGCACATACATAAAGGACTGCTTATTGTGCAAGAACGCCAGGAACAAACTCAGTGCAAAAAAAACAAAACCAAGCTTCCAGCACACCGAAGATGCACAAGAGGCATCTTTCGATTGCACGAACCAGAAGGCCGTTGGGCACAAGCAGCCTTGCCACCGTGTTCTTATAGCTTATCCTGCAGTGAGGACACAGGAGGCAAGTACAAATGATGGAATGTGAGGAAACTCGGGGTGGTGAGTGACAGAGAAAAACGCCAACATGGTGAGAGCAGTAGAAGAATGAAGGATGTAGAAGAAAAGCGCTCACATTCAACAGCACAATACACGAGCGAAACGCGACATGAGGCAAGAGTTCCTGATGGCATGGAGCGCTGTGACGGCAGTCTCACTTGCGAGTGGAGCCCTGTGGGTGCAATCGAACAGCGTCAAAGGTGCCCTTGTCCACCACCATGTAGCACGATGCTGAGGGCAGGCACGAGTCCAGCACATCGTCAGCCTGAGCTCCCAGGCAAGTGCTCCAACAAGAGGGGGGGAGAAGATAAGGGAAAAAGAACGCTCGGTGAGAAGCATCGCACGACGAATAGAATCAAGGCATCGCGTGATCGGCATGAGACTGGCATGGAAAGGAGCAGCGTGGCACGTCTGATGTGGCTGAACACAGGCCAAAATCCAGCTCGGCCAGACTGGGCGGGGACCAAACTTGGCCGGATTACGCCTGGCTCGACGGGCTGGTCGGGCCAGCCCGGGAGCAGCTCGTGTCGGGCTGAGTTTCAATGAAGTCTGGCACAACCCGCTCTTTCGTTGAAAAGGGCTGCCTAGCAGGTCCCGGCATGTGATGGCATGGCACGGGAGGGAGCATGACCTGGAATTGCAGGTGCATGAGACCCGCTTGCTCCGCCACCTGCTGTGCGAGCTGCACGGCTGCCTCACTGTAGTCCGTGCCCAGGAGATTGTGGAAACTGCCTTGCACACAAGGGACGGACGGCAGGTCAAAGGGGAGCAGGAGTGGGAGCAGGTGAGGGGGGAGGCGAGGAGAAGAGAGGGTAGAGCGGAGGTGGAAGACGATGTGGAAGGAAAAAAGGAGGGGGAATGGAAGAAAAAGGAGGCGTGATGTGCTGGCATTGAGACAAAGGAGCAATGATGGCGCCTGTGCTGTGTGGGCGTCAGTGCACAATGTAGATGCTGAAATAGTGACAAGGAGCATAGGCGGACTTGTGCCACAGGAGCGAACAATAACGACAACAAAACGCGGTAAAAAGGAAAGAGGTGTCCACGGGCGGAGATGGAGGGTAGGGTAGGTTGGGGGAGGGGAGGGAGGACGAGGGGAAGGAGGAAGAGGGGGGGGAGGGGAAAAAAGGGGGCGAGGGGGGAACAGACGGAGCCTAACAGATCAAGAAACGAGGAAGCATGACACACAAAAAACCAGCACGCATCCACGCGTCCGTCCCCATCCAACCCATAGACTCTTCCCCAGTTCACTTGCATGGACTAAATTGTGCTACGGGAGGGGGGGAGGGTGGCGAGGGGGGGAGGGGGACCGGAGGGCAGGGGAGGGGAACAAACGAAAGAGCCTGGTAGATCAAGTAAGGGAGAAGCATCACACACAATCGTAAGCACCCATCCACCCGTTCCCATGCACCCACAGTCACTGCCCCCCTTCACTTGCACCCACAGTCACTGCCCCCCTTCACTCGCACCCACAGCAGCGGCGCAGCAGCATCATCAGCTCACCCGTGTCGGGCCAGTGCGTGCAGCAGCAGTCCGTTACCCGTGCCCACATCCACCACCCGCCACCCCGCCGCCGCCCCTGCCAGCCCTGCTGCTGCTGCCCCTGACGCGCCCTCCCCTGACGCCCCTCTCGCCCCTGCTGCCGCCTCCCCCTTGTCCTCTTCCCCCTCCCCCTCGCCCCCTTGCTCCGCGCCTGTTGAATCGCCCCCAGCAGTGGTTGCTGCAAGCGCGCCTGCAGCGAGCGCGGCAGCAGTGGCGGCGGCTATCCGCGCTGTCCACTCCGCGCACGTCTCCATCACGTCCCCGCCGAACCTGGCATGGCGGGAGGGCGGAGTTACGTCAGGGGTTGGGCGGGGGGGGGGGGGGGGGGAATGGGGCGTGGGGGGAGAGGGGGGGAGAGTGTGGGGGGCGAGGGGGAGAACGGTGTAAGGAGTGAGGGGAGTGCAAGAAGAGGGACGGGATATAGAGAGGGGAGGAACGTGGGAGTAAGGGCGGAGAATGCTGAAGGAGGGAAGCCACAGTATGTGGGTGAAAGGGCGAGGAGAAGTGGAAAGCGCGAAACAAGAGAGGCGCGTGATGAGGAGGAGAAGGGAAGGAAGCGAGGTGGAGAGAAGAGGCGGTCCCGCCAATTGCCAGGGTGTAGGCGCATGTGCGACAAGATTACATGCAGGACAGACAGCCCATGAGCGGCAGGGTGAGCGGGTGCGAGGGCGCGAGGGTGCGTCACAGCATACATTGAAAACGGACTAGGCAACGCCGCTTACGCGATTTGCGCAGCGCCGCACACGCCGCTGTGCGCCTTTCAGCGGAAATGTGGTTGATAATTCGGCGGAGATCAAAGCGAGGGAGTTTAGGGGGACAGGAGACACCCAGTGGGGGAGTGGGCAAGGGACTGGAGGGAACAGGCGTGCTGACCATATCTCGCCGGGATCACCGCATTCCTTGAACTGTTGTAACTCGTCCGCGTATGTGCTGTCCCAATGCGACCTCAACCCAAGTACAGACCCCTCCTCCTCTTCCTCCTCCTCTTCCTCCTCTTCTTCGTCCTCTCCCCCTTCCTCATCCCCATCGCCCTCTTTCTTCTCGTCCCCATCCCCATCCCCTTCTCCATTCTCGTCCGCTCCCCGCCCCTCCTCGTCTCCCCCCCCGTTCTCCCCGCCCTCGCCTATTCCGCCATCCTCTGAATCATCATCCCCCGATCCCCTCTCCCGCAATCCTCCCCCCGTCCTATCCGCCGCTCCACTCCCTGGAGAGTCTCCTGCCGCGCTCGGCGCTCCTCTGTCGTACCCTAAACCATCCCCCCTTGCTTCATTCCGCATGCCCGCCGCCCCATCCCGATCCTCAACCCCATTCTCATCCTCATCTCCATCATCATCCCCATCATCATCCCCATCTCCCCCCGCACAACCATCGAGATCCGATATTCGGTCGTCCAGGCTCCCCTCGCTCGGCGCGCTGCCCGCTAGCAGCCCGCTCAGCCCCCCCAGTTCCCCCTGCAAGTTGCTCTGGTGGGTATACGCGCTCTGAACCCCATTCTGGTGACATATTTGAAAAGACAACGCCTGCTGCCGCTGCTGCTGCTGCTGCGATTGCGATTGCTGTTGTGATTGTTGTTGTTGCGGCTGTTGCTGCTGCTGCTGTTGTTGCTGTTGCTGTTGCTGTTGCTGCTGCTGCTGCTGCTGCTGTTGCAATGCAAGCATCGCGTCTTGCTGCCACCGCTGCTGCCGCTGCTGCGCGGCCAACCACTGCGGAACGCGGGCACGGAGAAGCGGCGACTGCTGGTACGCCACGCGCTGCTGCTGCTGCTGCGACCTTGTTTCCGGATGATGGTAATGGTCGGAGACATGCACGTGTCCCTCCGCGCCTCCCTCGTGCTCTCGCAACCCGTTCAGCTCCTGCTGCTCCCTCTCCTCCGGTGCACTGCTGGCACGTGGCAGGGTAAAGCATAGCAGGAATGGGAGGCACGGGAGCCATGGGGCATACTCACTCACAAGGGTGAACATCGTCTCGGATGCATCGCGCATCGTGCGGTTCACAATATCGCTCGCACTGTAACATCAATTTTCGCCAACTCGCCATTCTCTCGGTCATCGTCTAGGAGCATCGTTAACGCGGCGACCGATCCATGAGCCAGCCCTGTTTCCGGGATAATCATGCGAATCCGCAGCAATGCTTGAATCCTTACAGCGGCCTGAGAGCAGCATCGTCGCGCAAGCACTCGCGTCTTACCTCCCGCTCGGCTGCGAGTCCTCCGCAATCGCCGTCCCGCACATCATCTCGGCCGTGCGCGCCTCGTCGCCGTCTAGCGTGCTGCCATACTCGCTCTTCACGGACCACGAGTCGCCCGCGATCGACCTCTCGTCGTCGGAATGACCTCCCCCGTTGTGCTCCTCATCCGCTCCCCGCGCCGCGATTGGCCACTCCGCCTCCCGATCGTCCACGTGCTTCGGTAGCTTGAAACCCGCCAGGTGAAACAGGAAGAAAAGTACCAATGACGAATACATGATCCCGGAATATCCGAGCCAAACGCACAAGGCAACGTGACGGAATAAAAATATTGTCGATGCACTCTGTTTGCGACAGCAGGAACAATTCCTGCTAGATCTTTCCCGACGTGAATCACATCACTCGCACCGTAAGCAACGCGAGAAGACTCTGCGGAGTCAGCTCCTCCGCAGAAACATCAAGAAGCGCGATGAGCTGCAGCCACGCAACTCATGTGAGAGAAGAAATAAGTGAGCACTGTCTGCTATGGTATGGCTGCGAAAGAAAACTAGGGTTTGCGTTCATGAGAAATACTCCACGAGGTGATGGAGTGTCTCTGGTTGGGGAGGAAAAACGAGCCAAGGCAAGGTAAGGCACCCCGCTGATTGGACAATGTTTTTGAAAAGCTTCGGTAACGCTAGTCTGAAGGCTGGCTGGGCAGTCTGGCTTGCTTCGAAAGCTGTTCCCAAGCAGCTCTGCAGCCCGAACCTGTCCCTAGGCACTGGCGGGTATCGTCCTTTGCAACGGAGAGTTTTGCTCATTTCCGCGGAAGCGCACTTTGTTATATTATCGTCACGTGGCGTGCCTACGATCGCGCAAGCCGCGATCTGTTTTATTGTTACCACAATTTTCAATGCAAGTTTAGTGGATCTCATGTACTGAGCTGCCCACAGGCAAAAATAAAACTCATTTGGGCCTGGCATGCGTTAGGGAGGCATCAACCCTAAACACCTTGCCTCTATGTTTTTATTTTTGCCCGTGGGCAGCGCAGTACATGTGACCCACTAAACTTAACGTAAATTCCCTTGAAATTTGTGGGAAAAATAAAACAGATCGCGGCTTGCGCGATCGTAGTCACGCCACGTGGCGAAAATAAAACGAAGCGCGATTCCGCGAAATTGAGCAAAACTCTCTTTGCAACGCTTTGGTTCCAACCCTCAGTGCCGCTGCGAGATACGGTATGCTCCCTAAGACATTGTCCTTGTTTTCAAAAGACATTACCCAATCAGATACATGAACACGTATGATTAATCTATTTAAGTATTATTCTTTTTGGGTTAGGATGTAGTTTGAGGATGGTGTTGTAAGGGTTCCGCTGTGGACATGTCATGTCAAGAAAAAGAGTGTCACAAACAAACCCTAGACTAATTGTGATATTCCGAATTGAATTTGTGACTAATTAGGTATCGCTGAAAATCATGAACAGTACATATCTAACCACTCGTGACATGTAGCTGCTAGAATCTAGCAGCAGGAAATGAGTGAACTAGCAGCATGCAGGAGTACAAGTAGTAAACCCTAATTGGGTTGTACCCCATATGGGCTACCCCACTACAGCCTAGACAATATGCAGCATATATGTTTGACACACCCCCATAGGCAAAGTGGGGGAGAACAAGGGGTCACACGACCAGTCATGAGAAGCAGAGCAAGCTCAGGGTGGATCACAACGTCACCACACACTCTGAGCACAAGCAAAGGGCCACAAGGCCAGTTCACATGCAGAGATATATATGCAGCAATAACAATACAGTGATGACTACCTAGCAAGAGCCAGCATGCAGGTATATATATAGATCACAGTACAAGCAAAGTCTACAGCAAGTGTGGAAACGTAGGCACAAGGCCTAACAGGGTACAAAAGCGCTGATGATCACCAGACGGAAGTGCCTTGGTGAATATATCAGCAGTGTTGGCTCGAGTGGCCACGTGGCGAAGACGAAGCTGGCCTCGCTGCTGCAACTCTCGAGCCAGGAAGTAACGTAGAGCGATGTGCTTCGTTCTGTGCTCCAGTCTGTGCTCCTCACACAAGGCAATGGCCGCCTTGTTGTCAACGTACAGAACTGGAGGAGAACGAGGCCGCTCACCCAAGTCAGTCAGCAGGTAGGTGAGCCAGCGTAGCTCCTGTGCAGCCATGGCGGTGGCGTAGATCTCAGCCTCACAACTTGAGCTGAGAACAGAAGACGAGCGTGTAGACCGCCAAGAAACAGAGCCAGAGCCAAGGCTGAAGGTGTAACCCTGTGACGACCGCTGTGTAGTCTGGTCGTCAACCCAAGAGGCGTCTGAGTGCCCAGTGAGGACCACCTCACTCCGTCCTCCAAGCACGAGCCCCATGCCTGATGTACTGCACAGGTAGCGCAACACCCTCTTGGCAGCATCCATGTGCACCTTTCGGTGCCTGCCAGGAGCCACGTAACGAGCCAAAAGGCCAAGAGGGTATGCAAGGTCAGGTCGTGTGCAAGTCATCAGATACATGAGGCAGCCAACTAGCTCTGGGTAAGGACCACTCGGCTCTACGGACTCGTCCGAAGGTGGAGCTGAGAGCGAGTGACCTGTAGCCAGAGGAGTGGGCTGTGGGGAGGACCAGGAGAAGCCGAAGCGCTGAAGGACCTGCTGCACCATGTGTGACTGAGTCAGGGTGATGGTGCGGCGTGCTCTGTCCCGGGTGATCTGCAAGCCAAGGTAGCTGCGCAGCTCACCCAGGTCTGTGCACGTGTGTCTCTTCTACAGCTCGGACTTCACCTGAGCGAGATCCTCAGTGTCAGCAGTGGCAAAGACCAAGTCGTCGACGTACACGAGGATGTAGAACGGCGGCAGCGAAGTGTCGGTGCGCAGGAACAGCGACGGGTCAGCAGTCGAAGGAGCGAACCCAAGAGCCGCAAGCGTCGTCCTCAGTGTGTCGTGCCACTCACGAGGCGCCTGGCGGAGACCGTAGACTGGCCGCCGGAGACTCCACTGGGTACCAGGAGGAAACGACCCAGTGAAGCCAGGTGGGCGGCGCAGCCAGATCTCCTCGTGCAGGCTGCCCTGTAAGAAGGCTGTGCTGAAGTCAAGTGAGTGAAGCTCGTAGTCACGCTGAGCGGCAACGTGCAGCAGCACCCGAAGAGTGGTCATCTTCGGGGTGGGGGAGAAGGTCTGGAAGAAGTCAACTCCCTCTCGCTGACTGAAGCCTCGAGCAACGTAACGAGCCTTGAAGACAGGCGGAGAACCCGGCGGCCGCTTCACCCTGAAAATCCACATGCCATCGACGATGTTCGCCCCAGGAGGGGGAACCTCATCGACGTAAGTGCCTGTGGACTTCCAGGATGCCATCTCTGCGTCCATGGCTGTCTGCCACTGAGAGGAGTACTCACCCGCGATCGCCTCAGCGTAAGAGCGCGGGGTCGGGATGTCTGGTGCATCCGGGTCTCCCTCAGGGGCAAGCAGCAAGGCCACGAGATGAGGCGCAGCAGCCGCAAGACACGCAAGGTCCTCCTGCCTGTCCTCAAGGACGTCCGTGCCAAGAGCACACTCACCCCCGACGGACGGAGGACAGACAGACTCAGACTCAGCAACAAGACTGGCAGCGTAGTCTAGACGACAGGCAGCAGCAAAGTCAACAAGCTTAGCGACCAAGGCAGACGCAGCAGCAGACTCAAACGACGGGACACTGATAACAGCGGCTAGCAGACGCGTGATAGTAGGGTGCTCAGCACGAAACCGGTTAGACTCAGGGTCCGCGACGTCAGGCAAAGAGGACGCAGGGGGAGACGGAAGAGGAGGACGCTCCGGAGTAGAGGACCGACGCAAAGCTACAAGGCGTGTGCCGGGGATTGCCGGCCGACGCTGACAAGGAACACGACGAGCAGTACGACCAGGACGAACAGGCGAGACAGGACGCGACGCTGGCTCACGACGCTCAGTAAGACCCCCTGCCTGCTCAGTGTAAGGAGAAGGAGCAGGCAGCGGTGAGCCAGGCTGTAACGGAAGACCAGTAGACGAAGGGAGACTAAGAACCTGGCGAAGCACAGAGTCAGGCGGTGGCTGAGACGACGGAGACGGTGGAGCAAAGAACAGGCGCGGCTGTGCAGTGCCACCAGCACCAGCAGCTCCAGCACCCCCAGCAGCTCCAGCACCTCCAGTAGCTCCAGAAACCGCAGCTCCAGCTCCTCCAGGACCAGCTCCACCAGCAGCAGCACCCCCAGAACCGGCACCCCCAGTCCCAGGGTCTCCAGTCGCAGTGTCCCCAGCAGCAGCACCCGCAGGCTCAGCACCTCCAGCCCCAGCAGCTCCAGTACCCCCAGTACGAGCACCTCCGGGACCAGCACCACTCCCAGCTCCAGTGACGGCAGCAGAAGTACCTCCAGTAGGAGAGCCCCTAGCTCCAGAAGCGCGACCCTGACGGCGACCGTACCAGTCGTGCAGCTGCTGGGAGGTGAGAGGCACACGCGGACGAAGGCGGCCACTCCAAGGAGACCGCGCAACAGCAGACTCAGAACCCTCAGCGCCAGCACCCTCAGCGCCAGCACCCTCAGCGCCAGTACCCTCAGCGCCAGCACCTCCAGCAGCTCCAGAACCTCCAGCGCCAGCACCCTCAGCAGCTCCAGAACCCCCAGTTCCAGCGCCACCAGCACCAGGACCTCCAGCAGCTCCAGAACCTCCAGCGCCAGCACCCTCAGCAGCTCCAGAACCCCCAGTTCCAGCGCCACCAGCACCAGGACCTCCAGCAGCTCCAGAACCTCCAGCGCCAGCACCCTCAGCAGCTCCAGAACCAACAGCTCCAGCGCCACCAGCACCAGGACCTCCAGCAGCTCCAGAACCTCCAGCGCCAGCACCCTCAGCAGCTCCAGAACCAACAGCTCCAGCGCCACCAGCACCAGGACCTCCAGCAGCTCCAGAACCTCCAGCGCCCGCACCCTCAGACTCCTCACACTCAGGCTCAGCACCTCCAGGCTCCACACCCTCAAGCTCCGCACCCCCAGGCTCAGCACCCCCAGGCTCAGCACCCCGAGCAGGACCACCCTCAGCAGGACCTGAGTCACCAGTGACCTCAACCGGCGCAGTCAAGGGAGGAGGGTCTACCTGAGACACACCTGAAGGAGCAGGACCTGACGCGGGGAGGGGGTCTACCTGGGGAGCACCTGGAGCGAGGAAGAGCGGCGGGGGGGGGAGAGGGGCAGTGCGATAGGGGAAGAGACGGTAAAAGGGAACCGACTCGTCGAACGTGACGTCCTGAGACGCAAAGACACGGCGCAAGGTG